AAGCAGAGGAAACCCACATGGCTCCAGAAAAGGTTAAGTGACAGCATGAAAGAAAAAAAGAACATGTACAGGTAGTGGAAACACAGTCAGGACACAAAAGAAGAATATAAACAAATAGCAAGGAATTGCAGGGATTGTATCAAGAAGGCTAAAGCAGAAGATGAACTAAGAATAGCAAGGGATACTAAGCACAACAAGAAAGCCTTCTTCAGATACGTCCAGAACAAAAGACATGAGAAAGAGAAGGGTGTCCAGCTACTCAAAGTGGATGGCCGAGGGTTAACAGATGACAAAGAAAAGGCAGAGGCACTCACTTCCTACTTTGCTTCAGTCTTCTCCCACAAGGAAATCTGTAATCAAGAGGAAGTTCAAGCTGGAATTAAGATATGGCAGCCCAAGATTCACAGACAAATGGTCAAGGAACACCTAAATAGAATACAGACATTCAAATCTCCATGACCCAATGAACTCCATCCCAGAATCATTAAAATGCTAGCAGAGGAACTCTCAGAACCACTGGCTATTATCTTCAATAAATCTTGGAAAACAGAAGTGTCAGACAACTGGAGAAGGGCTAATGTCCCTATCTTCAAAAAGAGAAAAAAGATGAACCTGGAAACTATAGACCAGTTAGTCTGACATCAATCCCTGGAAAAATTCTTGAGCAAATCATTAAAAAATTCATCTGCAAGCATCTTGAAGAAAATGCAGTGATTAATAGAAGCCAACATGGATTTATCAAAAATAAATCATATTAGACAAAGTGAATCTCATTTTTTGACTGGGTTACCTCCCACATGGACAAAGGGAACACTGTAGACATAATCTACCTAGACTTTAACAAAGCTTTCAACATAGTGCCACATGACATTCTGATAAGCAAATTAGCAAAAATTGGACTATATGGAAAAACTATTAGGTGGATCCAAAATTGGGTGCTAAATTGGTCACAAAGAATGCTTATCAATGACTCCTTTTCAAACTGGATGGAAGAAACTAGTGGGGTGCCACAGGGTTCAGTCCTGGGCCCAGTGCTCCTCAACATCTTTATTAATGATCTAGATGAGGAAGTACAAGAAAAGACAATCAGATTCACAGATGATACAAAACTGGGTGGAATAGCAAACACCCTAGAAGACAGAATGAAGATCCAAAGTGATCCTGTTAAACTTGAACACTGGGCTGAAACCAGCAGAAGGAAATTCAGTAAGGACAAGTGCCAAGTCCTTCACCTAGGGAAAAAAAACCCCCAAATGCATCTATACAAGATGGGGAATATGTGGATCAACAGAACTCAAAAAGAAAAAAATCTTGGAGTAATTGTGGACAATAGGCAAAACATGAGCCAACAATGCGATGCAGCCACCAAAAGGGCAAATGCTATTTTGGGATGCATTAACAGAAGTATTACTTCCAAATTACAAGAAGTAGTAGTTTCTATATACTCCTCACTAGTCAGACCTCACCTCATATACTGTGTTCAGTTCTGGGCACAAAGATTTAAGAAAGATTCAGGCAAATTAGAAAGGGTCCAGAGGAGGGCAAAAAAATGATTCAGGATTTGGAAAGACTGCCCTATGAGGAGAGATTGAGGGAAGGGAACTGGGAATGTTCAGCCTTGAGAAGAGAACACTGGGTGGGGGGTGGGGGACATGATATCCCTCTATAAGTACCTCAAAGGCTGTCACAAAGAGGAAGGTCAAGATCTCTTCTTGCTAATGCCAGAATGTAACACACGGAATAATCAGTTCAAGTTGCAATGTATTTGATTGTATTGATTGTGAACCATCCCAAGATGCCATGCATAAGGGATGGCATATAAAAGTTTTTAAATTAACAACAACAACAACAACTCAGATTCAGGCTGGACATCAGGAAAATCTTCTTCACTGTCACAGCAATATGACAGTGGAACCAGCTGCCTAGAGAGGTGGTGGGCTCTCCCATACCAGAGACATTCAAGGGGAAACTGGGGAGCCATCTGAGTGGGATGGTGCAACTTGGTGTCCTGCAACAGCAGGGGGTTGAACTCAATGAACTTCATAGCCCCTTCGAAATCTTCTATGATTCTATGAGTCTATGTTGTGATGTGTCATCAAAGGCATTCCCAACTTATGGAAACCTTATTAATGAAAGCCATCTAAAATGTCCCATCCCTGATAGCCCTGCTCAGTTCTTCCCAATTCCAGGCTGCGGTTCCCTTTATGGAGTAAATCCATCTCTTATTTGGTTTTTTTCTTTTTCAGTCTCCAACTTTCCCTAGCATGATTGTCTTCTCCAGTAACTTTTGCTTTCTCATGATGTGAATACTGCTACATTGTTTCTACTTTCGACTGCTCCCCACCCTACTTTGTTTTTCAGCATTCCCAGGTTTAAATTTCCCTTTGATTTCTTGAATCATCAAGATCTCTTGCTTTTACTCTTTTGTTGCTTTCAGCTCTTGCTTTGCATTGACCATTGCAATAATTCTTTACATAATAATTGGTGGAAGATTTAGGACAGATAAAAAGAAGTCCCTCCTGCAGCACATAGCCAAACTGTGGAATTTTCTTTCATAGGGAGTGTTGATGGCTTTAAATGGGAACGGGGCAGATTCATAATGGAAGAGGCTATCTGTCACTACTAGCCTTGCTGGCCATGTGCTCCCTCCTTCACCAGAGGCAGCTTGCCTGCACACACCAGTTGCTGAGCAGCTTGGGATGGAGGTCTTCATCCATCCTGCTTCAGGGATCCTGTGGACAGCTGGTTTGTAACTGTATGTGTGGAGTGCTGAACTGAACAGACTTTTGGTCTGATCCAGCAGTGCTTTTCCTAGGTTCTGATGTTTTTTTGTCCAGCACATTCCTGCTTCTTTGTCAGTCGCTGAAACAAGAAGCCAACGGTGAAGCAGCCAGGACTGATCATGGCACCAAACCATTTAGGGTGGCTAGAAGGAAAAGGAAGTGTGAGGAGCTTCCCAAGCATCTCTTTGAATTGAGAAAGTGATATCAAAATGAGACACCAAGGCTGTTCCATGTAAGCAAGTGAAAAGTGATGCATGTAGGGTCAAAGAGTCCCAGCTTAGACTTGCAGTAGAAAATGTTGAGATCTGAGCTGGCAGTGCCTGGACATGGAAGGGATGTGGAGGTTCTGGTGGATGGCTCAGTGGAAGTGTCAGTGCTGGGCACTGTGTGAGCAGCATACTGGACCAGGTGGACTTGCGGCTGGATTTGGCAGGGCTCTTTGTATGGGCGTTGTGTCTTTTGGATCTCTGGAGATCCTCCATCTCTGGAAATACAAATATTCTATTCCAAAACACCCAACAAATAATAAACCTGGATTTTGCTTCCCCTCCCTTGAAGATCACCCGGGTAAGAGCACCTGATATTGCATGCCAGGTGTGGCCAGAGCCCCAAGCAAACCACTCCTAGGAATGTTTGAGTTGGCGTGGTCCATATTCCATAGCCATTTCCTATTGGATGGCCACCTCAAAAATTGTGCTGAAACTTCAGCTGTTCCAGGCTGCTGTGGCCAGATAGATGACTGGTGCCCATTATTGGACTAGGCTGGAGGTCTAGTCCAATAATGCTGGAATTATGTGGCTCCCTTGTGAGAGAAGCTTCTCTGGGTACCAGGCTATTCTGGGACTGACTTCAAGGTGGCACTTCTGACCCCTAAAGCCCTATGTGACTTCAGAGCAGCCCACCTGAAAGATTGCTTTCTTCCACACAAGCCTGTCCGGTTCTTCTGAGTTTCTTTGGGCGGGGAGGCTGTGTGAGACCACCTCCTTCTTAAGCTTCTTAATGGGGAGCCCAGACATGGCCTTTTCAGGGACCAATCTCAGGCTGCTGAACTTTCTGCTAAGGGGGGCTCCCCTTGCTTTGCCCCTCCAGCAGGCAAAACCCACTTTATTGAAGAAGTTCTTTGAGTTGCACTTCAGTGTTCTGAGCTCAGCACTCTTTTGCCATTTTATTTGCTCTAGCTGGCATGTTTCTTTTGGATATCAAATCATTTATTGTCAAGCAATGCTGATTGGGCCAGGGCTGTGCTCCACTGGTACCCCAGGCATGGGCCACGGCTCATTAGAGTTGCCCCACATATGATTCCCGGGCACACTTGGCCACTTCAGGAATTGTCTTGGGCCCTGTCAAAAATGGCTGCAGTGGGAGGAGTGGTAAAGGAACCCTAACTTGCCCCAAAGACTGAGTAGAGGGCAGGAGGGCAGGATCAGAACTCAAACAACCAGGCAATATTTTGAGGGCTGCTCTTCTGCTTCCAGGGAAAGTGTCGCCTGCCTTAGTGTTACCGGGAGGTTGCTAGGGAAGAAAGAGTATTCATAGCCTAAAACACAAAGGTCCTGCTTTCTGACCAAGGAGACCACAGGACTTCAGGGTGGCAGCATCTTCTGCTGCAGGAACTGTCATGTGCCATCATGCTCAGCAGAGACTGCTGCAGTGATGCACATCACTCCAAAAAGTTACCTTGCTCCTGGCTCCCTGAAGGGTGTTTTATTACTCAAGCTCAAGACAAGCTCTCCTTTCCCCATCAGTAAACCCAGCTTAGAGATCACACCAAATCTGGTGTGGTCTCACAAACTTATTTTCTTCCAGTTCTCCACCTGGGGCTCAGGCTGCTCAGAGTCCAGAAAGGTGCAGAGGTGATAGTCCTTTCCCTAATCTATGTGATGGTGATTCTTCATATAATTATATATAATCAAGTGATTTCCATCTTTTCCTCAGCATGTTTGCCTTGGAGACCAGCATGCTAGAGACTGGTCTCGGGGGGAAGAGGTGGGAACTTGCATGAAAGGTTAGGCCAATAAAATGCCTCCAAAGTTGAGACAACATGCAGGCAACTAGACAGGGGAAATATGATAATTGGAAATTTCATACAGAGCCTCTTTGGCAAAGAGCTCCTGGTGTGGCCAAAGACAGAGCCTTGCAAGATTCTCCTGGCTTCTCTGCCTATTCTGGTGAGACAGACTGGCACAGGGAAGGACGACAAGAAGGACCAAACCCACGATGATCCATCTACTGCTGCTCATGTGGCTGCCCCATGCAGCCTGTGAGATGCAGAAGGCAAAATGCCCCTTGAATCTGGTCCAAGATCAAAGCAATGCAGAGAACTATCACAGGCCAGGGGATCAGATCCTCAGTGCGATCTTGTCTACCAAATATGCTGTACGTGAAGACCCCTACATCTTTTCTGCACCTCCCATGACCAAAATTGACAGGTAGGTGAGGATTCCTTGGAATATTAAATGTTTTCCCACCTTCCTTCTAATTGCCCCTGTCTGACAAGGGGCAGCCCCAATCTCCTGGTCAACCGAAATATGCTTGGCCATCTCTTGGGTGCTTTCCAGTGAGGTTTTTAACATGCAAAGGAGAAGGGGCCTGGCTGCTTGGAGGGCAGTCTCCCCGCCCCCCACTTCATCCTGCCAATCTCATGAGATGTATTCTTGTCTCCATCTTAAACAAGGTGCTGATTTCACTGCTGCAGAGAAGGGAACCTGGTACAGGAAAATCCCTGGCCACTTCCCTCTACATCCTGCCAAAAGGCAAGGTTGCTGTCCTGGGCAGAAGAAAAATTTCAAAGCTTCCCTCAGTCTAAAAGATTCATTTGGGGAACCAAGCATACCTTGGGTTCTTATGCCAACTCTATTGATCCCCAAGACTCTTTCTCAGGCAAGATTTTACCCAAAGTAAGCTGGTGGAGGACAGAGTGGGAAATGGGGAGCACGTGAAGGTTCTGGTCTCTGCATGACCCTAGGAATGATGCATAGAGGAGCAGTGGATGCTCAGATAAGGCTCTCGAATGGGATGCAAGGGGTGACGTATCTCCTGCAGCTGTTCCCAGGACTATGGGGGACATGCAAAACATGGTTTCTTTTTGTGTTTGCCTTTGCTACTTGTAAAGTGTGACTCACCAGTGGGTAATTGTCTCTGCACTTTTATATTTTCTAAGCCTATTTGGTAGACTCCTTTTTGGACCAGCCTGGATGATTAAAATAAATTACTAATATGAGCATTGTTCTCCCCACACCACAAAGAGCCAATCCATTGTGGATGGGAGCTCAGCACTTTGGGGATGTCTATTGTCTGAATGAATGGAGGAGGACACAAGACCACCCATTTTTCTTTTTCTTGCTGAGCACAAGAAGAGGTCTGTGTCAGGTGCTGGCCCGCTTTGTCCTTCCCCACTGCTGTCCAGGAGGGCAACCCAAATGCCAGGCTCCCCCTTATCCCAAGCATAGAGGCTCAACTGTTCTGGGGAAGCATCCATTGCCCAGAAATACTCTAACACTTAGCAAAGACTGAATATGACAGTTCTTTCCTGGAAGGGAAGGGAGAGTATCACCGTTTCTCATTTCCCTTTTCTCAGTAAAATGGAACGGAGACATGTCCGGTACTGGCACATTTTATCTTTCCTCCTTGCCATTCATGAGGTCAACCAAAGTCCTGGACTCCTGCTCAACCTCACCCTAGGCTACAACATCTATGAGACCCACTTCCATGGGAGAATCACGTCAGATGCCATGGTGGACCTTCTTGCTGGAGGGCAGAGTAACATTCCCAACTACAGATGTGGACAGCAGAAGAACCCAGTGGCCTTTGTGGAAGGGGCTGAATCTGACATCTCGATGCACATTTCAGCCATGTCTGGCATCTACAAAATCCCACAGGTAGGAACTGGGAAGGGAAGAAGTTTGAACTTGGATAGCAATAAGGTGAGCCGCACTAAGTTGAAGCAAGAAGCAGTGAAGCAAAAAGACTAGCAAACTCAATTTTTTCAGGGCATTATAATATGATGATTTAAATGAGTTTTAAATGCAAAAATAAACATGCTTAGAAAACTTATTTTCCCATTGGACTCAGCAAATGTTCTGGTTTCCAATGCTGCAGAATATCAAGAATGGGGAAGCTTATGAAATCCATGGAATGGCAGTTGCAGAGAGTGGATGGAAAGGATAGTTATGTGCTTCAACCCATATCTGGTGATGTGCCCAAAGGGATCACATCATGTTTCTGGACTAAGTCAAAGGATGCAATTAGCTCTTCATAGGATGAAGTTTTCCTTACGATGGCACGCCTTGGATTGGTACCTTCAACTGTGGTGCCTTGGATTGTTTGGCTTACAAGGAACCATACCCCTCACAAAGGGTGAATTGTTCTACATTCAGTGCAATGCAGAAAAAACTGTTGCACCAGAAGAACTCCATCAGGAATTTAATCATACTCGGATCATAACCTCAACCCCAACCCAAATTCCCACTCAGTCTAACTCTCAGAATCATCATGACGAAAGATTTTTGTCTCAGATAATAATATTTTCATGTTAATGTCTATTTGAATATTATCATAAAAACACATCCCTTTCCTCCTCCTAGATGAGTTATGGCTTTGTTGCTGATGGTCTACAAGATAAAGCACAATTCCCATTTATCTACCAGATGATTCCAAAAGAAGAAATTCAGGTTGTGGGAATGGTCAAACTGATCCTGTATTTTGAGTGGATGTGGATTGGTCTCCTTGCTCCAAGGAACGACAATGGAGAAAGGTTCCTAAGAACATTGACACCTCTGCTTACCACCAGCGGAATCTGTGTGGCCTTCCTAAAAAGACTAGTTGTGAGGATGAATTATTTACTCGTCATCCGGAGTGTACCACTTCATCTGTGGAAACAAGTCAATGTATGCATTTATGTATGGGACTCTAGCTATGGATTTAATCTCTTCATCATAATACAATCAAGGCTAGAAGAGGAACAGATTGGGATGAAAGTGTGGATCACAACATCTTTTCAGGACATCTTCATCAATGTCCTTAGCCATCCACAGCCCTTCTACTATTTCCATGGCTCTCTTTCCTTTGTGGTGAAGACCAAGAGAAAAACAGATTACGACTACTATGGGCCAATGTCATCAGATATGACACAATTTTGGCTGACGGCTTTTCACTGCTTCTATTCCAAGCATGGCTTATCTGTAAAAGGTTGGACAAGATGCAGAGAGAAGGAGAACCTGGAACTGCTGTCCCAGGAGGAGATTGAGAGGATCCTGTCTCAGGACAGCTACAGTATTTACAACAGCGTCCGAGTCATGGCCCATGCCTTAAATTTAGCTTATGCATCCCACTCCAAAAAGATCTTGGGTGTGCATGGAAGAGACGAGCTGGAATGGCAAAGGATGCAGCCATGGCAGGTATCCCCTTTCCTTTTGCAAGGTAGTTCCAAATTGAAATCTACTGCAAAGTGGAAGCGTGATCCTGAATCCATACTCACACCATGTCACTAGGCTAATCTCAATGCCTATTTCTGGGATAAACACAGTTGGGCACTTTTCACACTATGCCACCCTGATTGCTCTTTTGAGCTCTTCTGAAGATGGACTGCATGTGAAGGGATGTCTAGTCCACATCTAGCAGAAACCTTCCAAAGGATTTGAAGTGATCTATCATCAACTTCTGCCCACAGACTGAGCATTGTGCCCAGTTCACAAACTTCCACACTGGAGTGATGAACTCTACCTCTAGCTCAGTTGACATAGCTGCTTCTAAAGTTGTATTTGCTCTTGTTATGTGTCATCAAGTCATCTCCAACTTATGGCAGCTACATGAATGAAAGCCCTCCACAATATCCCATCTGTGATAGTCCTGTGTAGCTGTTCTGCATTCTAGCCCGTGGCTTCCTTCATACATCCATCTAGCTCTTTCTGCTCTTCCTTTTCATCTGCCTTCAATTTTCCCTTCTCTTTACTTGATGTGTCCAAAGGATGACAGCCTCAGTTTTGTCATTTTTGCTTCAAGAAAGAGCTCTGGCTTGCTTGCATCTTGATTTGTCTTTCTGTCAGTCCATAGTATTTGCAAAGCTCTCCATGTCTCCAAAGACACCATGTTTCTAATGTGTCCATTTTCCTCCTCAGCTGTCTTCACTCTCCTGCACCTCTAAATGGTCATCAAGCATACCATTTGTGTTGTCTTTATTATCATCTGCAGTCCTGCTTCTGCAGCTGCTTCTTTCTTTTTGGCACTTTTCATCAGGAGTACTTTCAAGTCTTTGCTGCTTTCTGCCAGCAAGATGGCATCATCTGCTTTTGTTAAATTATTTGTTTGTGTGTGTGTGTCTGTGTGTGTTCCACCAATTTTCACTTCTTCCTCTGAACGCTAATCTGGCTTTCTTTCTAATATTTCACCTTTCTTCCTTGTGTCACCCTTGTAGAGACTAGTCTAGTGAGACCATCTGCCCTCCTTGTGGCATTGTGTTGAGCTTCTCGGATGCTGTCAGGCCACCGCACCACATTGGGGTATGCATCCCAGAGGAGGAATTTGCCCTTTCTCAGGGAAATGAAGGTTTCCAGATGTTGTGCATTCTGGAGTCCTTTCTTTCTTCTATGCTTTGGTGATTAATCATTGCCACCTCAATGGCTGCTCTGGAGATTTCTGTTCCTTCACAGCCTTGTTCCACTCATCCTTCTGTTTCTTCCTGGTGCCTTGCTCTACATCCAGTCTTCTCGGTGGTACTGGACTCACCTGATCACTTCTCAGTCTATGCTGATTACCCTTTCACGGGCTCCTTGCTGGAGGAAGGCCTTTGACAGGACAGTTCAAGTGGGAATACATGACTTTTCTGTTAGATTGTTGGAGCATTTGCTGCTGGGGAGCCCCAACAGACTGAAGTATATTAGAACTGTGGATTTTTCCACCGATTTCAATGGGAAGGTCTCCCTCCTCACTCTTCCTCATGTTTGAACCACTCCATTTTATTCTCACATTGAACAGGCTGGTCATATTTTCTATACCTAATCATGGCATCTCTGGTGAAGTCCAGATATTATGGGGCTGCTCTGAGCATTCCACATTAGGCATTTTTGTGCAGGTCTCTTAAATAAGCTTAAATCAGCCAGTACCTTCCTGTTGTGCATGAGGGTTCTGGATGTTGCTTCCAAAGCCAAGGATGGCAAAGCACAATGGTTGCCACAGACATGGGACATCACAGCCTAAATGCACAGAAACAGGGGAGATGAGAACTTATCCTGGCTGTGACACTGAAAAAAGATACTGGAGCTGATGCTAGGAATGCAACTGAGCTCATTCCTAAGGGGTTCAGGTGCAAATGGAACAGGGCCAAGTATCCATCCTGCATCCAAATACTCGGAATACTGGCTCTTTTCTCTGTCCTTCCAGTTTCACACTTTCCTGAGAAGAGTCCAGTTTGCTAATTCTGCCCAGAATGGGCTTTATTTATATGAAGATGGGGAGCTGGCAGTCAACTATGATATCAGGAACTGGGTCTTTCTCCCAAATGGGACCTACCATAGAGTTACCATTGGGAGCCTGGAGGGACAGGCAGCCCGGGATCTGAAACTCACCATGGATCCACAAACAATCATGTGGCCCAGGCCGTTTCACCAGGTTGGCTAATGATTCCTTGCATTGTTACCTTTCACATTCATTAAACTGAACTACATCATCAAATATTTCCTATGGCATGCAGTTTGCAATCTTCTGTATGCTTTCCCAAGAGTAAGTATCAAGTAATACTGAGCCAGTTCTCCTCAAAATATGTAACCTGGACAGGGATCCATTTTCCATCCTCTCCCTCTCAATTACAGAGTTCAACTGAAATTCCAGTAGCCCCGACAATGGCCAAGGCACACTGCTAGGACCACAAGAAAGGGACGTTGATTCCACTTCATCCTTTCTGCCCCTATATTAAGCACTGTTTTCCTGAGCATATGTTCACACCAGTGGTTTACAACAATCAGGATTTGAACCTGAAGAACTAATCTGGCCCTCCCCAATGGCATCACTCTTGAAAGCTGAATCTGAGATGTCTTAATCTCATTCCAGAAATGCTTCCTTGAAAGAAGCACCTGCCAGGGCTCCCTGGGAAAGGAACTTCCATTCATTTGTTCTACAACTAGATGATTCATGTCCATAGACACAGAGACCCTGACTAACTCTTCCCTGATGCTCCTTCTCTTTGTTTGCAGACAATACCTCAATCCAGGTGTGTTGAGAGCTGTCGTCCTGGATCTGCCAAGAAGGTTCAGGAGGGGAAACCACCCTGCTGCTATACCTGTGCCCCCTGTCCAGAAGGCACCATCTCTGCTCAGGAGGGTAGGTGTCTTAAGAGGAAAGGAGCACTTTTCAAGGCCAAGTAGGTCAAAGAGTTGAGTCCACCTAAACACTATTGTTTAACTAGAGATTACATTGAGGATCCACCTCCCCACTGGTGGAAGGCGCTTCCCAGGAAAGCTCCCATTCTATCTCTGGGCAAGAAGTCTGGTCAGCCATAGCAGTGCACAGATTGATCCCTGCCTGAATGTGGAGTTTATTCATTCTCCCTAATCTTGGTCTCCTTCGTTTAATTCTGCTATTCATCTTGATCTTTTCCTGTTCCAGTTTTTATATTGGACCAATAGATTTCATGAAGGGCAAATAACAAATATATTTTCAAGTTTAATAAATATCCTGTTGGAAATGTTTATCTACTCAGTGTAGTTATAAAGGATTTTTTTCTACTTAAATTCTTTCCTGGCTTTTGTATTTCTAATCTCACTCATTAATTCTATACAGTAGATTCAATTAAATGGCATTAGAGGACAATCCTTGAAATACAATGGAGGGCAATTGTAGCTCAACCCACTCTTCACCCTCCTTGAATCAAGTTCAACCCAAGACCAGATGGGATCATGAGTTTGGGCCAAGTTAAGAAACACTTAAGGTCTTATTAAGGTCCTTGATTCCATGGAAGACCGAAACATTGTTCCCAAAAGGAGGACAGATCAGATCACAACGGCCTCATTCTTACCAACCAACCAACTTATTTTGTAGCTTAGGTTATTCCATAACTTCTCTCACATAATATCTGCTAGCAAAACCTGGCCTGGATGGGTAGGGAACTCATAATAGGGCTAGTGGAACTGTTTCCAGCCTCTGAACCTATTCTTGGTAATAGTTCTCCAGGAAGGAACTCCAGGAGAAAGCTAGACTAAGATCCTTCCATTTAAGGCCAGTTCCACACATATTCAAATGCTCAGGAAGGCTGGGTTTACTCCTCCAAAGCTCAGGGGACACCAGATCTTACAAACCCACTGAAACTTCCTTAGCCTACAATGGGATATGTTCACAAACTCATAATCTTTTACCTGGGGATTTGAGTATGAACTCTGGAGAAGCAGATTGTAACCAAGGAAGCCAAAAGTCTGTCAATGGGACTCAGAGCTGAGCTGGACTTCCTTGTTGCCTCCTCCCATGCCAGCCTATCCTGTCTCATTAAGCAGTGCCACAGGGAGCTGGCTCACTGGACTCCCACAGCTGTGGCAACTAGTTGCAGGCTAGCCAAGTTCAGGACTCCCCAGATAGCGAGTCCTGGCCCAATGTGGGAGGCGTGTGCACAAGAATAAGAAGAGGCCCAACATTTTCCATCAAATGTGTTACAACACAGACACTTCTGAATAACATCAGATGGTTCTTAGTGAAACTGGGTTGACTCTCCCTCCTTTCAGATGCAGATCACTGTATTGCGTGTCCAGAAGATCACCAACAAAATTCAGACCAGGATCATTGTGTGCCCAAGACCTTGACATTCCTATCTTACGCAGGCGCTTTAGGGATCACCCTGGCTTCCCTTGCCTTACTCTTCTTCTTAACCACAGGCTGTGTCTTAGGAATCTTCTTCAAATACTTGGACACTCCAATAGTCAAAGCCAACAACAGGGACCTCTCCTACATTCTGCTTGTCTCTCTCCTGCTTTCCTTTCTGTCCACCTTCCTGTTCATTGGGCAGCCAAAAAAAGTTACCTGCCTCCTCCGACAAACGGCCTTCAGCATTATCTTCTCAGTTGCTGTCTCTTCTGTGCTGGCCAAAACAGTCACTGTGGTGCTGGCCTTCCTGGCCACCAAGCCAGGGAACAAGGTGAGAAAGTGGCTGGGAAAAAGCTTGGCCAATGCCATTGTCCTTTCCTGTTCAAGTATCCAACTGGTCATCTGTTCCTTCTGGCTGGCCATGGCTCCACCCTTTCCTGACTCTGACATGAACTCCCAGCCTGGACACATCATTCTGCAATGCAATGAAGGGATTGTCACAATGTTCTATGCTGCCCTGGGATACATGGGCTTCCTGGCTGCCATCTGCTTCACAGTGGCTTTTGTGGCCAGAAAGCTCCCTGGGGCTTTTAACGAAGCCAAGCTGATCACCTTCAGCATGCTGGTCTTCTGCAGTGTCTGGGTGTCCTTTGTGCCCTCATACCTGAGCACCAAGGGAAAGTATATGGTGGCAGTACAGGTCTTCTCCATCTTGGCCTCCAGTGCTGGGTTGCTGTGCTGCATCTTTCTTCCCAAGTGCTACATCATTGTCCTGAGGCCTGACCTGAATACAAAGGAGCATCTCATGTTGAAAGTACATGAAGCCAACTGATGCTAAGCAGGAGGGATCCCCTGTAGCCATTAAGATGTGAGCTAAGTCTCATGGGAAAACCAGCAAGAACTGGTATTTCTCTCATCTCTCTCAAGAAGGGAGACCATATCCAAACTAAACCCCAGCTTGGAAAGGCAAAGGAAAGCCTGTACTTTGTCGCTTACTGAGAAAAACCACTCTGTACACCTAGCTGTTCGAAAAGACTGTTTTCAACGGAAATTGAAAGCTAATGGAGTTTTGGCTCCAGGTAGCCTCAGGTTTTCAGGGAATTTAGGGCTCAGATGTAAAACCAGCCCAGGATATTGCTTAAGTCCAGCACTCACACACATTCAATGACAGGGGCTCCGTTCTTTTCAATTGATTTTCATTGACATTTATGTTACCTTTACTGTTATTTCTAGTTGATCTTTGGTATTGTCTTTGATTATATTTTATGAATTGCTGTGCCCCAAAGAAGTTGATCAAATAAAATATTACATACAAGATGACTTCCTTTGGTAAATGGAAATCTTGTGCAAATACTGGGCAGAAATCTCATCAGGAGCTTGCACAAGGGATATGCAAGCAGATTATATGATATACAACAAACAAATGCAATAAACGCTTCCCTGATTCTGACATGAACGCCCAGCATGGACACATCATCCTGCAATGCAATGAAGGGTCTCTCGTTTTTTTCTATGTTGCCCTTGGCTACATGGACTTCCTGGCTGCCATCTGCTTCACAGTGGCTTTCCTGTCCAGGAAGCTGCCTGTGTCCTTCAATGAGGCCAAGCTGATCATCTTCAGCATGCTAGTCTTCTGCACTGTCTGGGTGTCCTCCATGCCTTCCTACAAGCACCAAGGGGAAGTACATGGTGGCAGCGCAGGGTCTTCTCCACCTTGGCCTCCAGTGCTGGGCTCCTGGGCTGCATCTTCCTTCCCAAGTGCTACATCATTGTCCCAAGGCCTGACCTGAATGCAAAGGAGCATCTCAGGTTGAAAGCACCTGGTGAAATCTCATGATAAGTGGGAGGAATCCAGTGTCACCATTAAGTTTGGAGATACAGTAAATCTAAGGAAGAAACCTGAAAGAACTTACATTACTCAATCCCTGAAATCCTTTCTAGCAAGCAAATACGGCTTTCTTCTAGGACCTCTTGGTTTGTAAGCAGCTCTGCTGAGATTGCTGTAGATTTTCATTTGATTTTCTGGAACTGCTGTGTTTTCCTTGTATTGCAGGGTTGTTTTCTCATAATCTGTTCTTAAGGAGCCCATAAAACAGCTTGAGTGCCATTCCTTGGTAGAAATGGCAGGCATGAATCAAAGGAGTCCCTAAACAGGAACTCGGACATATTAAGCACCCTGCAGCTGCCATGGGGAAGCAAAATGCTGATGCTACCCATGATACAGGGAGTCCCATGGGCTGTGTTCAGAGTGGGCCACCAAGGCCTGGACCTGTGCTAATCAGAGCTGGCTGGCTTGTCATCACCTGCTTCTTCCCTGGGAACTCATTTTGAGTGCAGGTACACCCATGATTATTGCTCTTTAAGAAGCCCAGTTGTGGAACTAGTCAGAGACAATGGACATTCACTGGCAATCCATTGTCAGAGCTGAATGGGAACACTGCTTCAGCCCAGTTCCAGCACCAAGTAAACCCTGTCTTCCCAAACACCAAACTGTTTGTTATCACAGAAAGAACTTGAATTGCTTTAAAAAAAACATGGGAGGGTTACAGCTTCTGGCAGATACGAAACAAGGGATGCAGGTTGCTTTGTACCCTGCTGGAATCCACAGTGTCTTCCTCTGTTCTACTGGAAGGGCTGGGAAAGGTTGTAGGGTTGGAAAGACCAAGTTCAGACACTGAATACCCTATGAGACAGCAGGGCTTAAGGTGGAAACATTATCTGCTTGCTTGGAAGAAAGGTTTATGTACTCATACTGTTTACTAGTGACCACTTAGTGCTGTGCATAAATTCAAGTGCATCCCAAAACATAATCTTCAGCCAAGCACATTCGATGGAGGTTTGTCAATGAGGGTCAACCAGCACTCAACTTTCCCCTTCAGTGATCCCATCAGAGATACTAGTCTAATTTCGGTGAGATTCACAAGCATGTTTTCCTCCCGCTCTCCACCTGGGGCTCAGGCCACTCTGAGAGTCCACCAAGATGCAGAGGTGATACTCATTCACCTTGTAATTACCTACCTCACAGTGATTTCTTTTTCCTTTTTGCCACTGCTCAGGAAATTGCCTATAGGACCAAAACTTGCAATCAAGGAAAATGTTTCCTGGTGCCTGTAAAGTCTGCTGCATAAAATCACTTCTCAGCTGACATGAGACTCGAAGGCAAGGAGCAAGCAGAGCAGGCAGGTGAATGATGCTTCTGAGAAATGTAAACAAGCCCCTCCTTGGTGCTGACCTCCTTGTATGTATGAACACAGGGCAGCCTCGGTCTTGCACAAGTTTCCTGTCTTTCTCTCATTAGTGTGTGAGGGGAATGGACAAGAGGGAAGGCTAGAAAGGAGAAGGGCCCCCAATGGTTAACCGGATTCTCCTTTCAGTGTTCTTGCTGCCCTGTGCAGCCTTGAAGGGGCAGGAGGCAAAGTGCCCCCTGAATCTGATCCCAGATGAAAGCGCAGCAGAGAACTATTACAGGCCAGGAGACCTGCTCATCGGTGGCATCCTGGCAACAAAAGATGTCGCACATGAAAACCCATACGTCTTCTCGGAGCCTCCCCTGACCTTCATTTGGAGGTAGATAAGATTTCTGGACAGATACCATGCTTTCCCACCTGCCTTCATTCTTCCCCACCTTTTAACAGAGACAAATCAAATTCTAATGTCTCCGATCACCCTTTGTGCAGTACAGTCCATATCTGGCACTTCTCCTGGCTGTTGACCAAGGAGAGTTTTAAAAACCTGGCACATGGTCACTTCTGGGATATCAAAGTTCTGTTGTCTGCATGATCAGACTTGGGCTGCATTGAGGGAGAAAAGGGCAAAGTGTCCTCTAGCTTGAGATGAAAAAGGTTGGGTTTTACCTGCAGTTGCTCCAGGTCTGCTGGGAACATGCAACAAGAAGACACTTTTCTTTATGTGGGCATTAGATTCCATTGTTGCAGATTTGATCTACCAGCTGGAAGTTTATGGTGTTGTCCTTGTGTCTGTTGTGTTGCTTCTTTAACAATCACAAATATTATTCATATCGTATTTATTTCATTTCTATACCACTCCACGGCTAAAACTCCCTAGGCAGTTTCAATAGGCTTTAGCAATAGATTATTCCCTCCAGACTTTCATATTTTGTAACATTCAAAATGACTCCTCTTTTGAAAAGTTCAAAACAATAAACCTTAATAAACCTAAAAAAATAAACCTTAATAAGCAAATTGCTTGACTCTCCTCCACTTTGGGGTATTAACACTTGTCAGATGCATTGCCTGGAAAGATTTCTAGGTATACAGTGGAAAATATGTTGTGCTTCTTTCATTGCAAAGAAGAGGAGAGCACTGAAACCAATTTTTCTTTTCAAAGTGAACCAGGAAAGAACTTCGTCAAGTACTGGAACATTTTGTCTTTCCTCCTTGCCATTTGTGAGGTCAACCAGAGTCCCAGTCTCCTGCCCAACCTCACCCTGGGCTACAACATCTACGAGACCTACTTCCATGGGAGAATCACTTCCGATGCCATGGTGGATCTTCTTGCTGGCGGGAACAGCAACATTCCCAACTACAGCTGTGGACGGCGAAAGAACCCACTGGCCATTGTGGAAGCGGCCGAAGCTGACATCTCAATGCACATTTCAGCCATGTCAAGCATGTACAAAATCCCACAGGTAGGAATGGGGAAGAGGTAAGTTCTGTGCAGTTTTTTCTAGGAGACCAATAAAAGGACAACACAAGGCAAGTCATACTTAAATGCAGCAAGATTCAGTGAGGCTTCCATCTGAACGTTTATCTTGCCCAAACCCTAACCCCAATTGTCACTTAATCTGGGCTCCATATTAGAAGAGGGACATAGCTAGGTTAGCATCAGTTCAGAGCAGGGTCACAAGGATCTTAGATTGTGTGGGTTTCCATGTGAAATGAGATGGAGGGAGCTGGGTCTCTTCAGCCTGAAGAAGGACACTCAGATGGGGTCTTATAGTGACATACAGGTATGTGAAGAGGTGTCACATGATGGAGGCTCATGACCTTTTCTCCCCTGTGGGGGAGGAAAGGATGTTGTCCAATGGGACAATGCTCAAAAATCCAGACATCTATTTGAATGTTAGGAAGTACTTTCTGGGGGATGGGCCAGTCAATGGCCTTGATCAGAATCTGACAAGAAAGTTCCTAATGCCTCATTAAAAAATAACAAGAAAAACCCAGACACAGCAGATGATTGTGGATGTGATTTGAAGGAGAAGAAGATTGCTGCCAGAGAAAAATTCAATAAGGAGGTACTGTTTTATGCATTGTAAATAGACTCAATATTTAAACCCATGTTGGAAAAGCCTTAGTGGGGGAGTGTGATAGTGACTGGTTTGGACTAAGATGGAGATTGTCCTGAAAAATAGTTGGGAAAAAGAACTTTGCAACTTAAAGCTAATTGAAGAGACTTGGTTCATGGACTGTAAAAGTTTCAGCAGATAACTTAATTAGATTCAGCACAGCTCCAGCTTAAGATGATACAATAAACAGTACTAATGGGATAGGCTTGTGATTTGAGGAAGAAAGTAAAAGCTTTATTTTCAATGTTTTAAAGAGTTCAGTGGAATTAAATCTTAAAATAAGCAAAACATAAAGACATAAAGATTTATATGGATATTTTAAAAGCTATAAACAATGGAGATTGTGATAAGCTACATTCCTTTTTGTTAGGTAAATTTTATTATTTTGTACAAACTAAAAAAAAAAAAGAAACTAAAAAACATCAATCATCAGAAACATCAGACCTACTGGTCAGACCCCTATTTTTTTTTTTTAACAGCAATCTGTAGACATATTCAAATCTATGCATAATCCCAATTTTCTAGCT